CACAAAGACACACACAAGATAAATAAATAAATGACTTTCGAAACAAAGTTACATCATGTCATTAAATTTAACAAGATAAAATACAATTTGTAGTTCCAACCATACCGGTAGTTATGGTTATGCAACTGAGTTATAAGAAGAGATTTTAAAAGATGATACTGAGTTTGCCTGCAGGGAGAAACACAGCTGAGGGGCCGAACAGAAAAAAAGCGTGGATATTTCAGAACAGTTAGAGTTGGACCCTGCTTGAGGATCTTAGGCAGCGATCAGGCTCATAGGGGATTAGCAGATCGCAGATGTAGGCAGGAGCATGACACTTCAAGGCTTTAAAAACAAGAAGTTACATCTTAGGATCAATTCTAACACTCACAGGTAACCAGTGAAGGGGAGGATTGGTGTAATGTCGTCACTTCTCTTACTTTCTGTTATGACAAGGTCTAGCAAAGGCCAATGCTCAGCAAATATCACAGGTCAAAGTTCACCAAAGTTGCTGATTTGCTTCACTAAAAGAAGTGAATGTTTTATTTTCTGCCTCGCTCACACGGATTGGAAATGAACACGAGCCAAAGGTTACCCTCTGATACATTTGTGTGTGTGACCTGTGAGCAGTGTTTTGTATAAATTATAATCTTCTGTGTTTCGACTTCTTATACCAGAGTAAAGTGTGTAAAGTTGGTCATTCATAATCCATGTAGAATGTACACAGTGGCAGAATAATTCAGGGGGGGGCAGTGTAATAATAATAATACCTTTTTGTGGGATGTCTCAATGGAATTTATTATTTTCTTTTCTTTGTTTGTTATTGGCAGGTGGCAACCAACGTCAAGGAGCATTACCACCATCTACTGGTCAGTGGGGAGGACTTCATACTGCTTGAAGTCTTATCTCCAACTTCAGCCGTTCAGCATAAGTTACCATGGTGATTTACCCCAAAACCAAGTGAACCAGATTAATAGGACTGAAAACCTGAAGCTACTGTGATAACCGCAAATCAGGCCTCAGGAGAGGTATGATGAGTTAGCAACAACAACAGCGAAATAAACAGTGAAATACAAGGCAAAGAATGAAATTCTTACGTGTGGTGAGTTCCAAAAGCAATGTCCAGCTTGGCCTGTCACAGAAAGTCTCATAGGTTAAACAGAAAAACAGAGTTTAAGCTTAAAGAACAGTCTCTATAACATGACTTTTTGCCAACCACCATAAAAGGGGGATTCATGCATTTTTCTGGAAAGATTGTCTCCTTCAGCAGCCGTGACACAGCGGCAGTGGCTACAATGTTGTCTTAAGGGGCAAGGGGCATAGGGCCCAGGCTCTACAGACAATGAAATCACTTTTGCTCCACTCTCACCAAGATATTTGGCACAAAAGTGAGAGCGCATTTGCTGATATGTGCAAATTTAATACATGACTCGACATTTTTTATTTCAAGTGTGTGAATGCATCTTGCACCAAATTTGCAGCAGCAATTCGTAACGTAGGATTTGTGTATCTGCAATGAAGAATTTCAGGAGGGTCAACTGTTTGTGGGAGAGAATAAAATCTACAAGTTTGCAATACCTGAGAAATTTCTCTCCATAACTCTTGTTAAGCACTAAAAGGACCTTCATAGAATTTGCTAGTATGACAGGTCAGAGTGTAAATACTTCAGAAAAACCTTTGCTCCACTAACTTTCTGTGGCAATGATTCTGTACCTGGCAGAATCGAACATGTGGAAAAGGTTGAGCCTGCTGGAGCAGCCGGGCCTTGGCCTCTCTCTTATCTCCATGAACGATCAGGACGGGACGATCCCTGAAAACACAATACCGTGTATTGAGCCTTGAAAATGTTTAAACCTAGCCATACAAACAATCTCCTAAATGCTCAGAAGATTGCATGAATGGATGTTCTAACAAGAGAGGTTGTCGGAGATTTTTCAAATTTGTTCTGTTTTTTTTATTCAGTATCAATGAGAAAGCAGCTCATTATAATAAAAGTATTATACCAGCCAAACTACACTAGAATCAGGGATGTGAAAAAGTGATGTGATAATGTGACGGCAGAAGAGAAGCAGAACCTACCTGAACTCTGGTGGGAACTGGTTTACCATCCAGGCAATATCAAAGCAGTAGTTAAACTATGAAGGGAAAGAGAATGTTAATGAACAAAATTCATCTACTCACTTATCAACACTGTAAACTAGAGTCTACAGCCAGACTAGCCGCTCTGAGAGGCTGCACAGCAGTATATTTAACTGAATGCTAATGTCGACAGATGAAGAGGCTGATGTGAATGTCATTCATTTTGCAGATATTTCGTTGTTAGTACCAAATTGAATTTTTATCTAATGATGACACGAGACAAATTTAATGACACGAGAATGGTACAAATAGTCTCCTTAAATTCAATAAAGCTACAATAAATTGTCCACAGTCATTGACACTAGTCCCCTAAATGTGCCAGGTCCAAAAATAAATAAAGAAATGAAACATCTTCCATGCCTACCTCGCAATGTTAAAGAAAGTGAAAAATAAAGTCTGGATCTGTCCACACCAAAATTGAATTGATCCTTCATTGACCCATACCACATCCTTCTACACAGTTTCATTGTAATCAGTCCAGTAGCTTTTCTCAAATCTATCAAATACTTATAAAAATGTGTTTTGTCAGAATAAGTGTGTGAATTCTTGAATTATGGGCAAAACCATGTATTGTGAGGTCTTTGTGGAGTTTGACCTGAGACCACCAAATTCTAATCAGTTCATCTAAGAGTCCAACTGAATGTTTGTGACATATTTGAAGAAATTCCCTTGAGGTAACCCTGATATATATGATATTCATGTGAAGGTGGAAGTTATGACAGAAGAACAGGCAGAGGGATGAACAGACTTTCTGAAAACATCATGCTGCTTGTTTGAAGTGTGGAGGCAAAAAAATTGTTACTCACCTGAACAGATTCTTTTAAGGTCCCAAATAACGGGGAGAGGATGTCTAGACGAAAAGATATTTAATGAAACTAATTCATAAAGGACTGACAAATGTGAGCAGTGTTATTGAAAGTGTTAACTAAGGATAAGGACTTGACATTCCAACTGGGCACCTGTTTCTGAACCTGTGCTCATGTTTTGTTTTGATCTTGTAATGTCAAACCAGACAGCAGCAGTCTTAATCAAGAGAAAAGTGTCTCACCTCTGATGTGCAGCGCTCCACTGTTGTACTTCCTGTCCAGGCCTGTGACCTTGTTGAGGTAAAACCTGTAGGTGTCATTCAGACAGGGAATACTGGACTCGAAGAAGTCCTCTGGCTCGTCGATGTAGTAGAGGCGACCGTGGGGACTGGGAGGCCGCTCATTCTCCACCTTGGCTTTCTTAGCTTTGGGAGTTGGAAGGGCCTTCTTTGGTAGGTTACTAATGCTGTTCCCCTTCACGTCCCCATCATCATCGCTATCTGAGAGAGCCCATCCAGAACCATCTGACACCTCTTTCTTCCGCTTTCCAGCCAACGAAGGACTAGTTTCATATTTTACGGGATTCAGCTGGTTATTTGCAGCCGATTGTCTGGCCTCAGAGCCGATGGCAAGTGAGGATACAGGAGGTTTGGCTGGTTCAGCTTTCACCTCCACAGTGGCTGATGCTGGTTCTAGTTTTGGGACAGGTGGAGAAGCAGACCGACGTGGGCTGGACGCAGAGAGTCCGTCAGGCTTAGATGTTGTATTCCCAGATGGAGGAAGAGCCTCATCATCGTCATCATCGCTGCTAGAGATGGTCCACTTGCCGTGTTGACTGTCCTGAGACATGCCTGAGCACATACACAGAGTTCAGACATTAGGTGATCGACTGGATGATTGAGCCTGCGGTGATGCCACCTGTCAGTCATATCAATATGGATTAACTTTTACCCTGATGCTACCTGCGTTGTTACCTCTAACTGGTTGCTGTGTGTTTTGTGAGATATAAACATTATATAAACATATCAGTAAGTATGTATAAATTATTCTGGTAATCTGATTATGACTATAACTGTTTATAACCTGATGTTTTCATTTTGTCCAGCAGATTGAGGTTTGCAGCTGAGATATCAACTGGAGCCTCTGACTAAAATACACCAATGTACAAAATGTAAAAGGAAGCATGGGGTATAAACCGTGTAAAAATACAGATGATACAAACATGTAAGAAAATATGATAAGACAAAATGTCTTGCATACGTAGAAAGACGAATTAGCTGCACAGATATACACAGCGATTTGTTAAATAACCAACATGCAAAGATAAAACGAGAGAAACAGATCGTGCAGGTTAAACAATGAGAGTCTGGTAGAAATGATAGAATTCTATTGTGACGAGTTTACTTTACCACGTTTAGATCAGATACCGCAGAGCAAACTTTACACAACACCACGGTTTGTGTACATTACACCGCGAAGGAGGAGGTGACCACGGAATATGTGTCCGGGTCAGAACACTGTCTCTTCGTAGGTTCCGCTACATCCGCTCCGGAAAATAGACTATATACAAAGATCTTATTTTTGCCTTGAT